TTGTGTGTGTTTGACACTCACTGATATGTTCCAGCGTTGTTTTATATTTGGCGCTATTCTATCTTACGATTTGTTGATCTTTTTTACCTACGGGCTCATAGAACATTCTATTGCGAACACATTGGCACAAAAATGAATGACGTACATAGAATAATAATGTCAGGACATTGAAATAAGTATAAACTTTCAAAGCGCCGTATCGCATATGTGTCGTCGCGTCACCGATACCGGGTAACAGTTCCGCCACTTTCCACACTCTTGCGGGTGGGCCGCGACCATTATTCTACGTTTATATTCACATCACCGTGTTGGGAATTTCATTGCGAGTCCATTGATACCAAAATTAATGCTGTAGGACAAGGGTGGAGGTGATAACAATCCCAAGATTAAAAACATTTTGTTGCTGTTGGGCGCTCACGGCGAGTCATCTACGTAGTTACTAACACTTTCGCGCTCTCCGCGAAGGTCACTCAGCCAACCGTATGTGCGCGTTGCGTTTTTATCGCTTAAGCGTAAAAACAAAAATGTGTATACTCTTTTTACTCTTCTGACCTTAGTTCTCATGCTACGTATTTCATTTTGGTACCAACGTGTTCGCAATAAAATTCTCTAGAAGAACATCAGTAAAATAAGTCACGAAACGTATAGGGATACCAGCACCAAATAAATAACTACGAAGATGACTCACCGTGAGCGCCCAACACCAAAAAAATGTTTTTACTCTTGGGATTGTAATCACCTCCACACTTGTTCTACAGCGTTAATTTTGGTATCAATGGACTCGCAATGAAATTCCCAACACGTTGATATGAATATAAGCATAGAATAATGATGCGGTCCGCCCGCAGGAGTGTGGGAAGTGGTGAAATTGTTACCCGGTATCGGTGACGGGACGACGCACGGCGCTTTGAAAGTTTATACTTATTTCACTCTCATGACATTAATTTTCTATGTACGTCATTCATTTTTGTGTCAAAGTGTTCGCAATAGAATGTTCTATGAGCCCATAGGTAAAAAAGATCAACAAAGAGTAAGTTAGAATAGCGCCAAATATAAAACAACGCTGGAACATATCAGTGAGCGTCAAACACACATGAAATGTTTTTACTTTTGTTATGTTTGTCAAGTTTATACTTGTTGCACACAGTTATTTTTGGTTGTATATTGATCGGAATAAAATTCCCTAAACAAACATATGCATATAATACATGATATGGGGGAAGCATTACCAGTATAAACGGCTAAAGTCACCCACCTGCAACCCGTTAGGGACATAATATCATTTGATCGAAGTTATCCACACCTTTCATGAACTTATTGTACCATGCAGCCTAGTGGTGAGAAAGAGAGCCTCATGGTGCGCAATTTGAAACAAACCCAAAGTAAATCGGATAAAAATTGAATTTTATACAAATATTTTAAAAGGGAACTCAACTTTATGTCCACTATGCGTTTACGTTAGACGAAACGGGACGCGCCGATGCGTCCGGATAGCGCGAAAGTGTAATTTGGTGCTGGTATCCATATACCTTTCGTGACCTTTTTTATTGATGTTCTTCTAGAGAATTTTATTGCGAACACGTTGGTACCAAAATGAAATACGTAGCTCGAGAACTAAAGTCAGGAGAGTAAAAAGAGTATACACATTTTTGTTTTGACGCTTCAGCGACAAAAATGCCGCGCGCACATACCGCTTTTTTTTTAACCTTAGCTGGGCGGGCGAAAGTGTTAAGTACTTGGGCACACACCTGTGGTTCGGTTGAAGTCGTGACTTAAAAGTGATGTCATGAATGTAGTTAAAAGAAGGAATAAGAATGGGAGGAAGAAGAATGGAGAGGAAAGAGGAGAAAGAAGAATGGAGGGAAGAGAGAGGAAGAGGAAGCGGTAGAAGGGAGAGGGTGGGAGGAGGAGGAGGGGAGGAGGAGGAGGGGAGGAGGAGGAGAGGAGGAGAGAGAAGGGGAGGAGGCACAGAGAGAAGGGGAGGAGAGAGAGAAGGGGAGGAGAGGAGGAAGGGAGGAGGGGGAGGAGGAAGGGAGGAGGGGGAGGAGGAGGGGGAGGAGGAGGGGGAGTAGGGGGAGGAGTAGGGGGAGGAGTAGGGGGAGGAGGGGGTGGGGGAGGGAGGAGGAGGAGGAGTAGGGGGGGAGGAGTAGGGGGAGGGGGTGGAGGAGAAGGGGGGGAGGAGGAGGAGGGGGAGGAGGAGGAGGAGGGGGGGAGGAGGAGGAGGGGGGGGAGGAGGAGGAGGGGGGAGGAGGGGGAGGAGGAGGAGGGGGGAGGAGGAGGGGGGGGAGGAGGAGGGGGGAGGAGGAGGAGGAGGGGGGGGGGGAGGAGGAGGAGGGGGGGGGAGGGGGAGGAGGGGGGAGGAGGAGGATGGGGGGAGGAGGGGGAGGAGGGGGGAGGAGGAGGAGGGGGGAGGGGGGGGAGGAGGAGGGGGGAGGGGGAGGAGGAGGAGGGGGGAGGGGGAGGAGGAGGAGGGGGAGGAGGGGGAGGAGGGGGGGAGGAGGAGGATGGGGGGAGGAGGAGGAGGATGGGGGGAGGAGGAGGATGGGGGGAGGAGGAGGATGGGGGGAGGAGGAGGATGGGGGGAGGAGGAGGATGGGGGGAGGAGGAGGATGGGGGGAGGAGGAGGATGGGGGGAGGAGGAGGATGGGGGGAGGAGGAGGATGGGGGGAGGAGGAGGATGGGGGGAGGAGGAGGGGGGAGGAGGAGGAAGAGAGGAGGAGGGAAAGAGGAGGAGGGAAGGAGGAGGAGGAGGGAAGGAGGAGGAGGGAAAGAGGAGGAGGAGGGGAAGAGGAGGGGAAGAGGAGGAAGCGAGGAGGAGGGGATTGCCGGAACAACCGTGGATATCTTCAGGAGGAAACTAGATTTATTCCTCCAAGGAGTGCTGGACCAACCGGGCTGTGGTGGGTATGTGGCCCTGCGGGCCGCTCCAAGCAACAGCCTGGTGAACCAAACTCTCACAAGTCAAGCCTGGCCTCGGGCCGGGCTTGGGGAGTAGAAGAACTCCCAGAACCCCATCAACCAGTTATCAACTAGGGGAGAGAGGACAAGGAGGAGGAGGGAGGGTGGAAGAAGAAGGGAGAGAGGGGGAGGCAGGAACAGGGGGGGGGGGCAGGAACAGGGGGGGGGCAGGAACAGGGGGGGGGGCAGGAACAGGGGGGGGGGACAGGAACAGGGGGGGGGGGGGACAGGAACAGGGGGGGGGGACAGGAACAGGGGGGGGGGACAGGAACAGGGGGGGGGACAGGAACAGGGGGGGGGGCAGGAACAGGGGGGAGGGGCAGGAACAGGGGGGAGGGGCAGGAAACAGGGGGGAGGGGCAGGAACAGGGGGGAGGGGCAGGAACAGGGAGGGGCAGGAACAGGGGGGGCAGAAAAAGGGGGTGGCAGGAAAAAGGGGGGGGGGGCAGGAACAAGGGGGGGTGGCAGGAACAAGGGGGGGGCAGGAACAAGGGGGGGGGGGGCAGGAACAGAGGGGGGGGGGCAGGAACAGGGGGGGGGCAGGAACAGGGGGGGGGCTGGAACAGGGGGGGGGGCAGGAACAGGGGGGGGCAGGAACAGGGGGGGGGCAGGAACAGGGGGGGGGGCAGGAACAGGGGGGGGGGGGCAGGAACAGGGGGGGGGGCAGGAACAGGGGGGGGGGGCAGGAACAGGGGGGGGGCAGGAACAGGGGGGGGCAGGAACAGGGGGGGGGGGGCAGGAACAGGGGGGGGGCAGGAACAGGGGGGGGCAGGAACAGGGGGGGGGCAGGAACAGGGGGGGGGCAGGAACAGGGGGGGCAGGAACAGGGGGGGGGCAGGAACAGGGGGGGGCAGGAACAGGGGGGGGCAGGAACAGGGGGGGGCAGGAACAGGGGGGGGGCAGGAACAGGGGGGGGGGGCAGGAACAGGGGGGGGGGCAGGAACAGGGGGGGGGGGCAGGAACCGGGGGGGGGGGGGCAGGAACCGGGGGGGGGGCAGGAACCGGGGGGGGGGGGGGGCAGGAACCGGGGGGGTGGGCAGGAACAGGGGGGGGGGGGGGGCAGGAACAGGGGGGGGGGGGGGGGGGGGGGGGGGGGGGCAGGAACAGGGGGGGGGCAGGAACAGGGGAAAGGGCAGGAACAGGGGAAAGGGCAGGAACAGGGGAAAGGGCAGGAACAGGGGAAAGGGCAGGAACAGGGGAAAGGGCAGGAACAGGGGAAAGGGCAGGAACAGGGGAAAGGGCAGGAACAGGGGAAAGGGCAGGAACAGGGGAAAGGGCAGGAACAGGGGAAAGGGCAGGAACAGGGGAAAGGGCAGGAACAGGGGAAAGGGCAGGAACAGGGGAAAGGGCAGGAACAGGGGAAAGGGCAGGAACAGGGGGGGGGGCGGGAAAGGAATAGGGGTGGGCAGAAACAGAGGAGAGGGAGGGGTAGCATGAACAGAGGAGAGCGATGGGTGCAGGAAGAGAGGAGGAGAGGGGGGGGCAGGAGCAGAGGACGGAGAGGGGGGCAGGAACAGAGGAGGGGGAGGGGGGGCAGGAACAGAGGAGGGGGAGGGGGGGCAGGAACAGAGGAGGGGGAGGGGGGCAGGAACAGAGGAGGGGGAGGGGGGCAGGAACAGAGGAGGGGGAGGGGGGCAGGAACAGAGGAGGGGGGGCAGGAACAGAGGATGGAGGGGGGGGCAGGAACAGAGGAGGGGGGGGGCAGGAACAGAGGAGGGGGGGGGGCAGGAACAGAGGAGGGGGGGGGGGCAGGAACAGAGGAGGGGGGGGGGCAGGAACAGAGGAGGGGGGGGGGCAGGAACAGAGGAGGAGAGGGGGGCAGGAACAGAGGACGGAGAGGGGGGGGGGCAGGAACAGAGGACGAAGAGGGGGGGCAGGAACAGAGGACAGAGGGGGAGGCAGGAACAGAGGGAGGACAGGAACAGAGGAGAGGGGGGGGGGCAGAGGAGGGGGGGGGGCAGAGGAGGGGGGGGGGGCAGGAGGAGGGGGGGACAGAGGAGGAGGGGGCAGGAACAGAGAGGAAGAGGATGAAGAGGACTTTACCTTGCAATTGGCACGACAATCGTGATTGATGAAAGCTGCAGGTCCAAGCCAAAGTTGTGCACAATTTTTCCTGCACGAGTACATGACAGAAAAATCATTCTTGCCAGGATGTAGCAACTGAGTTTCTTCATCTTCACTTAACTCAGCAATACATCCTACCAAAAATCCTATCTGCTCATTCTTGTACCTGTAAAATATCAATACAATGTGGAGGAAATGCTAAAATATTTAAATGCTTCAATAGGAAGGGGAATATTAAAACTAAAATGTCAACAGCCACAAGCACCACCAGGTGTGTAGGGGTAACCTGTTCCTATGACCAAAACATTGGAAGTTACCCGAACCTGGCAAGTCATTACAGATAACTAAGAAACCATTCCTAAAACATAATTAAAAAAAATAATGGATTAAAAAACTGCTTTACACATTCTTGCTTTACGTGATACATAGACAATCACACACTTCCTTAATACACCAGAATTATGTTGCCAATAAACGAAAAGCCCAAAACAAAATATATTTTAATATTAAAAAATGACTTTTTTAAAGTGTTTTAATTTTAAAAAATTTACTATCTATATTAATATCATATATATTATGGCCATATGCCACAAAGATTAAATATAATTTAATACCAGATGCACTTGTAAACGTGTAAACATATCATTTCTCACGAGGAGGTTTCCACTGTACAGTAATTAGTTTTTCTATCTTTTTATTTAATTTCTAATCAACATCTTTTGATACTTGTCCATTCTAGCAACTACCTTTTTTAATCTTTTTATTTTAGAATGGTGAATTATTTTGTTAATTATGTTTTGAGCACTGTAAGTAAGGAAACCTCTTTTTTTTTTTAGAAAAGTTTGAATGTTGCCAGTAGTGAGTCATATGTAAAATACATTTTATTTATACACAAGAAAAGAGATTGCTATATGGAAGTGATTTTGCCCCTTTGCTTTGAGGATGCATTGCATATAGAAACACTCCCAACTACTGCATGACAACAACTATATTACTGTATAGTAAATGAAACTAGCTTCTTTTTTTTAATTACACCCATGTTAGACAGATCAACCCATTCAGGATTTAACTCAATACATCAAATCAGTTAACCAATTGTTATGGATCAGGTCAATACATTTGAATGATGCAGCTTATGTGTGTGTTAATGGAATGGCTTCAAATGAAATCTCCTTCATAAGTTACAGATAATTTTCTGCACATATGTATTAGATAAACACTTTGACGATTGCACAAATGCACAGAGGGTATAAGTATGACAATTTACTGCTCTATTTACTTACCCATATTAATGTTTCCACATTCTAATGTGGAAACAGTCTCCTATCTATAACGTATCTTAAAATCAATACACGAGTGACTAACTCCAGTGCACAAATTGCTTAAAAGTTGATAAAATTATTTCAAAGCTATTTCCAATCATTAAAAACCTTTATACCATCATGCTGAGCAAATGAGAGGACTTTGATTAAAAACAGTATATTTCAAAATGCAGTAATCACTCTCCAGCATTATACAGGGTAACTTATGACAAACTAAGTTCACACCCATTTCCCCTCACCCACCCCATACTTACAGGCCATAATATGTTTTCCTTAAATAATCCTTCCACTAACCTTCAGTCTTCCCCCTATGCCCCCCTACTTCCTAAAAATAAAAATGAAAAACAAATTAGTTATTGCAATATCCAAGCTAACAACAAACTCCTGTGCACAAAATTATGCAGTATTGAATCTCTATGACCTTAATCCAGAATTAACTCACTGACCTGACATCGCAATACCTCATTCTAGCACGCAACGTACACGAGACCTGTCAAATGTTATGAAGTTAAGTTTATCTTCAAGAACACAAAGCACACTGATAAGTATCTTAAGTGATAGACTTGCACACACAATGACATAGATCTCTACATAAAAAAGAGGCAAGTTTAACTAATGTTTATATTTAAATAAAGCAAATCTATGTATATTAGTTAACAACACATTCCTAATACTTTTGTTCACAAAATAATAATAATCAGAGCCATCATTGAAATTATAATTTATAAAATTCCAAGTTAACAAAATTGCATACAAGATCAAGAGCTTTAATATATATAAAATTTTTTTTAGAAAATCCTACTTACTGAAGCATGGACAACAGTGTATGTAGTATACTAGAATACAGTTTATATTTTAACTAAATCAGATGACAAAGCTCTGGTCTAAATGTATGACTTAGATGCCAAAAACAAGTTTGTAAGGTGAAAGCTTGGAGGATACATACCATTTCTTGGTAGCACATATTTTGGCTCCAATGCAGCCTTCCATTGAGTACCGGTAGCAAGCTTTTACCACAAACCCACTATCTTTGTCAAAAACTCGCAGGTATCGAAACACATGTTCCTAAAACATAAAAGAATTGAAATTGAAATTGAAAATTGAAATAAGTTTATTGAGGTAAAATACACACAAAGGGACGAGGTAGATCAAGCTATTCTCACCCCATTCAGTACATCGTGTTAATACATACATAGCATAGATACACATCACAAACAATAAACATATTACCAAACATTCTGAGAGATAAACATATACAGTACATTCCACCTTAACACAAGTAGTATGGTAAAAGAACAATTAGAATATTGAAAACTAAAACTAAAAACACTGGAATACTATGTTCCAAGGAATAAAAGGCACTACCCAAAAGGAGAAGTTGGTAGTGCCCTAATTCAAGTTTCAACCAAATATACCTAATCAAATAATAAGATGGATATAAAGTAATTCATGAGAATCCAGAATATAAATTGGAACCCCATATAAAAGAATATGGGGGATCCGAGACTGACCTAAAATACAGTAAAACCACCAGGAAATTACAGGCAAAGAAAAAAATTACCATATCATTAAAGAGAGACGACACACAACTGCTGTCTCTTACAATTTCAGTCTCACATATGTCATGAACAGTTTCAGTATTTCTCCATGTATTTAAATATGATTACAAAATTTGCTAGCATAGCTTAGGCTACTCTCAACACCTTTGGTATAATCCTCTGGTAACAGTCTACTATCCAGAACCACTCCTAGATCTCTCTGTCCACTTCTTTAATCTCAGAGAGAAGGATCAAATTGTTGATATGACTGAACCTGTCTCCAAAAGCCCACATCAAAAGGGTATCATCATCAGTGGCATATACATGACTGGCTAACATCAGACCTGCCTCTAAGGATTTGTGTAAGGAATCATTTAGAACCTTGAATACCACATAAGTCAGACCAATCCTGGAGTATGCGGCTCCAGTGTGTGATCCATACTTAGTCAATGACAAGGCGAAGTTGGAAAAGGTTCATAGTTATGCAACTAGACTAGTTCCGGAACTACAAAGTATGTGTTACAAGGAAAGGCGATGTTAATTAGATATCTTATGTATCTAAATAATAATAATAATAACATATAGTGATGAAGATGTTGCACACAGGAACTTATAGGTCTCTTACTTTAAAAGTTGCTTGAAGTGCCTTATTTTTGGTGATAAAAAAGGTCCAAGGCATCCAGTCTCCAGATACCAGTTGCTTGAAGGCTTTCTCATAGTCCTGATGTTTTATGAAGCACTCAACAATGGTACGAAGCTCGTCTTTGTTTCCACGCAATGGTCTGTACCTGAGTTTTATACACACAAAACAATCAGTGTTGAATGTAATGAAACACCATTTTCTGGGTTAGCCCTGGAGGCTCCTGAAGCTATCCGAACTCATGTGCTATATATATTAGTTTGGGGTTATCAGTCACATGACTTCTGATGCTTACCAGGAACCACGAGCCAGAATCTGGTCCCCTCTGCAGGGAGCTTGCAGGGAGCAATGGCCTATGAGCACTATACATTTAAGACAAAAACCACGCCAAGCTCCAAAGAGGAAAAGGGGCAGTCTGCCAGCCAGGTGTAACACCCGATATAATGTAACACCACTATAATGGATACTAAACTAATAATGTAAACACTACTTATCCTGAGTAACACTTTCCCATCGGTTGCACTTGGTAATACTGTTATGAGCTGACATATGATGGTTACACCGGAACTAAAAGGTACACTGCCAACAAGGAAATGCTACACAGGATTAAATACACTGCCACCATCTGCCTTTGACCATTGAGACTATATCAAGCAACGAGGCAAGAAACATTGCTTGACTTGGAGAGTACTTTCTATGACTGTCATTAATTATGAAAACGGTTGTCAGCCACTATATCCAAAAGGCTAAGAGGATTCAACAATTGACACAGATGGGAAATTTAGCATGAGTTTATTGAGACCAAAATTATGTCAATCACCACTTATAAATCCTACTCTAACACTGGCAAAAATTTAAGAAATTTGGACATGGAACAAAACCTCAGAGATCACAAACATTACCTTAAGACCTCTGTCTCTCCCTGGCTGAGATGTTCTTCACAGACCCGCTCTCGATCCTGGTGTCCCGCACTCTCTTCCTAAATCTCTACAGGACCAATATATATACCCCAAAAGGGGGGAGGGGAGATTTACTGTTGCTACCTAGATCAGAAATGCTAGTGGGGTCAGGCCACACGTGCACAAACACTTAAAAAATATTTCAATTAAGCTTGTTTGACATTCACCATACACTCTTCAAGAGAGGAGTTATTAATTACATGTGTGACTGACCTCTGACCTGGCCAAAAGGGGGAGATCCAAGGATGTTTACACATAAGAATCTGGAGTCGAATTCCCTTGCAATGTTTGACAAGAGTATCATGAAATATTACATACTTGAAACTATGCTAAGACTAACCCAGGAATTTTTTAATCAACATACAAGATAATCCGGAGGTCATCTGGGCTGACCTCTTGGAGAAGGCTTCCCTGGGTTTGAACTCTAAGGGAGGGGGGGGAGGTCATGGGTGTTACAGCTCCCTTTCCCCGGCAGATGGTGGCAGCGTATTTAATCCTGTGTAGCATTTCCTTGTTGGCAGTGTACCTTTTAGTTCCGGTGTAACCATCATATGTCAGCTCATAACAGTGTTACCAAGTGCAACCGATGGGGAAGTGTTACTCAGGATAAGTAGTGTTTACATTATTAGTTTAGTATCCATTATAGTGGTGTTACATTATATCGGGTGTTACACAGGAAGACTTCGGAACCTCATAATGCACCCAATACTGGGAAGAAAAACCGAACTCAAACGAAGCCGGATTGATCACCAAGGTGTAAGCCAGGTCTCACAGGAGGTACAATCCAAGGGCCTCCTGAACTTTCCGAGGGAAAATCCGAGAGGAAAGAAACCTTCGGAAGGACAAATCCAAGGAACCCAAAGGCACCCTGAAACAAACCTAGGGAAGGGGGGGGGGGGCACCCAACTCTAATTCATACAGGGAAGGAGAGGTACAAACCCCTCTCCCTCCCCTATAATAACAATCCCTGACCCATTAGACACAAGCAGGGTCATAAGGAGCCCAAGCGTTCCAAGCGGACTTTTCCCCAAGCCCCAGCAACCCAGGACACTGGTTTCGGGGCAGAGCCCTCTTCCACACCCACCATCCCTGAAGAGGAGGAGGAATCGGGCCCAACCACCTAAGAGCATAAAGGGGCAGCCACAGTAGCCATCCGGGCTAAACCCCACCCCGACTCAGAAACTCTCAAGACGTTTAGGAGCAGGAGGCAGGAGGTAAGGAGCAGGGCGAACCACACCCACCTAGGAAGGAATCGGAGGCATGGACAGAACCAAGGTCGAAGCAAGCAGCTCCAATCGGGCAACCAATCTAATGCGGTGCAAGAAGGAGAATCGAGCATGCATTGTAGCCGCCGCCTGATTCCTAAGATCAACAGACAGGGAATGAGTAAATTGAAGCAAAAGTGACGAACAAGTCCGTAACTTGAGAGGCGGGACTAAAGAATTGAAGCTCAACCCCCACTTGCACAACTAGGCGAGTACAAGACCCCCGGGTCGTAGGTGTCACTGACCAACAGGCAGCATGACAGTACAGAGGTAGTACAGATGATCGTCACCCTGAGGCAGGGGCGACATGCTGCCTTCAACTTCACACAAGGCAAGAGTGGATTTAGAAGAAGTGTCCATAGTAACATCGAGCCCATGAGTTTTCCAGGGGCCCATAGGATAAATGAGGGGGGGGGGCTAACTAGCCAAGTGCTAGTTACAAAAAGTTTCTCGTTTTGTTTTTTATCTAGGGAAGTTATTTTGATCTTTTTGGATGTAGAATGTACAGGTTAACCAGACAGTGATCCATTTCGACTCGCCTACCATTCTGTGTTCTTTCTCAGTCGATAGCAATTATGACATACAGTACTTTAAATGTAAAATGCTCATAGGCCATTGCATCCTGTGCCCCTCTGAGGGGATCAGGTTCTAGCTCGTGGTTCCCAGTAGGCATAAGAACTCCTGTAACTGATGACCCTAAACTAATATGGCACATATCGGTTCAAATAGCTTCAAGGAGCCAACAGGACTCTCCCTAGAAATTAACCTATTTCCCAAAGTTATTTCTACTTGATGTATGATGCAATTCCTTCACTAAGAAATATTATCAGATGTAATAACTTTGTCCTTGAATATATTAATTACATTTATTCAATTAAAGTTATTCATGCCTATCAATCATATGCAATCTTTCCCCCCCCCACACACACACAAGGGTTGGGTTATGAGATAAAAATATCTTGGCTGCAACAGTTAATAAGATGACATGCGTATCAAAAAGTAGCAAGTAAAATACAAAAATAAAGATTTAAGTACTGTACTCTATATGAACTATAGTTTTAATAATTTACAATACTAAAATTACTGAAGCTGAGATGAACTAGAGCAGTGTTGAAAGATTGCTAAGTACTATTTAAACCTGAGGAATTGCTAGATTAGTGCTGAAGGAAATGATCAACATTTCTTTATGATAAGGAGTGAAAGATAAATCAAGAAATTTGAATGTTTTGACTAACAGATATACCAACCTGCCCTCTTGAATAGTACATTGCATCATTTTGACGTATAAATCCCATAATGCCAAACATGTATGAACTAAAAATCGAAGTGCCTTGAAAAAATGGTTGTGATGTCCCATTTTCTATTCATGGGTCCTTAGTTAGGATAGGTTTGGGCAATTTAATATATTAGTAGTGACATTGTGAATACTTGAGAGGAGGTGCTGTATAAACAATACAGAAATATATAAAATATTAGCATGAATAGGCATTAAACATAATAGTAGTAAGTTTATTACTGAAGTTGAATTACTGTACTTAATTTATACATTTACAGTTGCTACTGAAATGTATAAATTAAGAACAATTCATATCAATGTATAATCCAAACTTTATACATCTTACCTCACATTCATTTTGTGAGTGACGAAGCCCAAGTACTGATCAAGGACAAGAGCAGTTGCCAGGTCATCATAGTCGGAGAGCTCCTTGGGGGTCATGCCGCAGCCTGTGGTTGCCATGCCCCCACCACGCATCAACCGACCCCCTTGAGCCACAACCATCTTGATTACCTAACCACTGGAAAAAGAAACATCAAGATTAATACAGAATGAATTGAAAGAAAACAAAGGACTATTAGTATAATTAATTGTCATGAATAACAATTTCACATATTTTGGACTTTGAGTCAGTTAAACTTCCTAGAGAGAGAGAGAGAGAGAGAGAGACGTTGTTGTCTTGCCTATATACTGAGTTCGTTGGGGCTGACAATCCCCAAAGTGAGCACATGAAGGTGTAAACAAAAGTCTCTCTCAAGGTGGCTTTTTTTGGTGTCGGAAGAATTCTTCATTAGCAGGTCGGCGATTTTCCTACTCTTATAATATATTGTTAATTTTATCTTTTGGTTGACGTCAGTTGAGATAACGTTCCTCTCAATGATCTCTTTTAGGACTCATTCCTCTGCTTTGTAGGCAGTGGAGAAGACGTTTCTGTAGAACAATTTTATTGGAAGTACGGGTACTGCGGTATTAGTTGTTACGTCGCCTGCTTGATACCTGGTTATTGTATACCTCGCCACCTTTCTTTTCATGACGTCTTCGACATACTCATTGGAGAAACCATTGTTGACCAAAATCTGCCGTATTCTACTTAACTCCTCATCCACCTGCTTCCACCCAGGACTGTGAGTAAGAGCTTGGTCGACGTAAGCTTTCACAACACTTTATCTCTCCAGGCAGTCACTGTTAGCGTTAAGGCACATCCCTATGTTTGTCTCCTTAACATATACGTTCTATATGATGAAAGTTACCGTTCCTTTCCATGACTGCTACATCTAAGAAAGGCAGCTTACACCCCCCCCCCCCCACTCTCTGTCGCATAAGTGAAGTTTAAAACCGAGTTTTGCTCGAAAGCTTCCTTCAACTGCAGCAATCATTTGGTATCCGGGACTTGTACAAATATGTCATCGGCATACCTGCAGTTCTTATGTTCATGCATGCCATAACCTATTAATATCCATTCATCCATTTGTTCCTCTCAATCATGTCCTGTACCACCTCATCCCAAGAGAATATAAGCTCTTGCTAAAGCATTGTAAATTTGTTTTTGAAAATGTAAAGATTGCCTTGCGAAACATATCCCTAGGCGTCAGACCATAGTTGTGAAAATGACTTTTCGCGAGTTAATTTTTCAACTTCCCTCGACAGTGAAGAAAAACATAAGAAATATTAAGACGATTCATGTTAAATCATTAATCTTACCCTTTCGGTCATATTCAACATATGTTTACAAGAAAGACTGCTACCAAAATATAGCAGTTACTTTACAAACAATATATTATTGTTTGTAACATCCCTCTATCAGACTGTACATATTATTTATATTTTATATATTAAATATATAGGGGTTCCAACTCTGGCTGGAAGAAGGGGGGACCCATAGCCTCGGAGGAAACCACGCATAACGCATTAGAGGGAATGTTTAGATCCCCTCCAATACAGTTTCTGTGTGCTTTTCTCCTACCACCCCCTTCCTTTTTTTGTGCTTCATATAATATATAATTATATATTATATTATATTATAGTATATAGTGTATAGTATATATATATATATATATATATATATATATATATATATATATATATATATATATATATATATATATATATATATATATATATATATATATATATATAAATGAGGCTGGGTTTACTTACAGGATTGAACTGAAATGCATTAGATAATATATATATCTAGACAAAGTAATTCAATTCGACGAAGAAACTTTCTGATTAAGGGGGCATAATGCCGATATTAAAAGTTGTTCAATGTCAACAAATCTTTTTTGACTACTTGTGTATGAAAAGGGCTGCAATTATGTCAAGTTTCAGTATTGCAGCCTAAATAGAAAGGGAAATTTTTGTTTGTTTGTTTTTTTAACAAATTTTACACATTTTCAAATCAAAATTACAACCACAAGTTTCAAATGAAATCATTACTGTGACACTCTTCTATCACATTAGCACAATATCTATCACAAGTTCCATAAAAAAATTATGCAAAAATATCATGGTTTATTACTATTATAAAATCAATAAAGAAATCAGGTAAAAAAGCTCGAATCAGATTGTAGAAATGTATACTGTACATACAAGGTTTAAGTTTCATGTAAATTGAATAAAAAATGAAAGAGTTAAGGGAACGTTTATGTTACTTGAAAAAATAAGTAAAAAATAAAGTCTAAGGTTCTGCCATCTGTGGCTGAGGTTGACATCAACAATTTCCTCCAAAATTGGCACCCTTACAGATAGGCTTTACGTGCAGTCAGGTGCACAAGTTTCATGCAAATCGTCCGATAAATATGAAAAAAAATATTTTTATAAAACTAATTATTAAATATTTTTATTATATGTTATTGTGATAGCCAAGAGTCATATAAATGATTTCAGATGACACTTGTATTTGATGTTAATTTTTTACCATTTTGGAGATTTTTTTAAAGTTGACAATTCAATATTTTTTTCTCCCTTCCTATTTATGCTACGATGCTGAGACTTGGACCAGATGAAACCCTTTTCATATACAACTCATCAAAAAAGTTTGATTGAAATCGAATCAGTTTTCAATTATTGCATATTGACATGTGCCCCCCCTTAAGGGAGATTGAAACAACAACTTATTTAACAAAATATTATGGTATAAGAAATAAAAAAAATATATGTAGGCTACTCACCTATGAGAAGCACTAGCAGATCCTAAGTAATTTATTGCCATGACACTTTTCCGATCACTATCAACACAAACTCATAATCCATGGCTTGAGGTGTCAAACTTGGATCATGATACTGTACTAATATATACCGAGATGCCTAAAGGTCACCATGATAACAGTTCTTTTCATAACCAATTCTTTTCTGTGGATGAATAGATAAGCTATGTTAATAAGGTCATCATCTAGCCAGAAAGGATCAAGACTTTCAAGTAATAAAATGCCTAAATAATTTATCTTTTATATTAATTCACAACTTTAAGTACTGTGTCTAATTAGTTATATAATTCATAATAATTATGCATACAGTACAGTATATGCAAATAGCAGTATTTTATATTTAGCTGTTTTTTTGGGTTTTTTTTAAGAAGAGGCTTTGCATAGATCATAGCAAAGGCAAGCTACAATACAGTACTTTTCAAGAAAAACAAAAACAAAATACGTTGAATATATTCATGTACTATAATATTGAACACACTTTTAGTACAGTACAGTACATACATAGTACAGTACATATACTGTACTATGTATGTACAGTATATGTACATCTTATACAATGGAATTTCTTTAAAAAGCAAATCTGAATAATGCAACAAGTTTTGCAAAACAGCAATTAATATTTAGAATTGCAGATCAGATTTAAACCCGAAATATAATTTATATGTTACATATAGCATTAAACAAATTCTAGCTAAGGTGAAGTAGTCTACTATGAAAGTATAGGGGTACAATTTCAGCACATGTAGTGTACCATATTACGTGCTTTTTTTAATCCTTCCACTGCACAAGTCATACATAAATGATAGCAGCATATCTGACCAACCTGTGCCAGTTATCTAGGTATGACTTAACATACCAAGTAGGATTAAAACTCCTGTGGGTACGTGGGGCTCATTTCGGCTTTCCCAGGATTCCAGTAAACACACTATACTGTACAGTATTTAGAAAAAATATTGTGGACACCCTTTCTGGGTGTGAAGGCCTCAATACCAAGCGAGCAACCTAAGGTAGCACATGCAGAATAAACTAACAGCACCGCTGTTCAGCTTGTGTCCATACCATCACTTGCAAATTATGTAATATACTGTACTGTATAAGTACTTTGATTATTTTGTGATGATAGTATCATAGAAGATCCTGACTAATAATGACTAAGTACAATGTTTAGATATTGGTAAACAAAATGCTGTTTATAATGTTCACAGTGCAATGCAGACAGCCATAGCACTCTGCCAATGTTTGGTACGTTCAAGTAATTATCAATAGAAGGTACCAAGATGTCAGGCTGCGAGCAGCTGCGTCCTCAGCCTGATTGTCCAGTCCAGCAACAAGGAGACCTGGTCGAGGACCGGGAAGCGTGGAGGCTAAGCCTCGAAATCATCGCAAGGTAACCACAAGGTAAGCCGGGAAGGCTAGGTAACACTGTCAAATGTTTGGGATATTCAAAAGGTGCTAAATATCACTAAGGATGCCAATACAAGAACAAAAGCATACAAGGCAAACAACATCAAAGGTACCGATTAACCAAGGATCCTACCGAGGGATTGGTACTTTCAAACATCTTGAATAGATAACGCATGTTCCTTTAGAGAATAAACTTGTGCAAAATGATTTTGTGAACAGGATTCTGATAATAATAATAATAGCAACAGTTATAATGATGCCACAATAATGTGCCCACAGCTAGCAATAGGCACATTATATTGGAGGTATTTTGGCGAGTCAGGTGGTGTCATCAGCTGACTAGCACATGGATGCTATAGTGAGCTTGGGCCCACCAGACCACCTTAATGGTTCGTTATGGTGCACAAAAATATAGTTATATATACAGTACTGTAATGTCAGTGTATATACAGTGTAATAACAGCAAAAATGGTACTGTATGTTTATTGTTCAAAGAATATAATATTTAACTTTTTTTTTTTATACCTAGAAGGGGTACCACCTCTGGTGCAAGTGTAGGGACCCACAGCCTCGGAGATGAAAATTTATATTTAACTTGTATTATTTAACAGTATATCTGTGTAGCAATATTCTACATGTTATATGACAAACAATTTTATTGACACCCCAATACAGCATTGAACTCGAAAAAAACATGGAAAAACATCCAAAATATGAAGAAGTAAGTAAGTAATTATCAAAAGAAGGCACCAAACCGGGAAGGCTATGTAGCACCATCAAATACGCAAAATAATCAGAGGGCGCTAAATATCACCAAGGATGCCAATACGAGAACAAAAACGCATAAGGCGAACGATATCAAAAGTATCCGAGTCACCAAGAATTCTATCGAGGGACAGGTGACCGCGAGGGGCGGTCGGAAAGCAAGACACACGCTCGTCCTGGAAGTCAGGACATTCAAGAAGGACATGCACGACCGTAAGAGGGACAATGCAACTAGGACAATAAGGAGCAGGGCGGCGCTCCATCAAGTGACCATGGGTTAAGCGAGTATGGCCAATACGCAACCTCGCTAGAGCTGTTTCCCACCGCCGGTTACGGTGGAAGGAGGACGGCCACGAGGAAACACAACATTTAAGAGTACGTAGCTTGTTACCAGTAACAGACAACCAAGAAGCCTGCCAACGGGTAAGGACTGAGGAATGGATAACCGGGTAAAAGTCGGAATACGGAATGCCTTTACGAGAGATGGGACAAGAGCGGACAGCTTCCTTAGCGGCAGCATCCGCACGCTCATTTAAAGACACGCCAATATGGCTGGGAACCCAACAAAACTCAACCGACTTAAATTTACTGTGAACGAGAAACAGCCAATGCTGGATCTCGACAACTACCGGATGAACTGGATTAAAGCACCCGAGAGCCATGAGGGCACTACGAGAGTCAACAACAACCACAAAGGAAGACTGACAACGAGAAAGCAGGAGACGAAGAGCATAGAGAATAGCATAAAGTTCCGCTGTAAAGATGCTAGTCTCCGGAGGCAAGCGACACATATAAGTGCGATCAGGAAAAACAACAGAGTAGCCAACACCGTCCGCTGACTTAGACCCGTCGGTGAAGACAGAAACGGAGCGGGAGTGAGAAGAAAAGTGCTCGAGGAAAAGGCGTTTTAGAACTGTAGGAGGGGTAAAAGCTTTAGTGATACGAGTCAAGGATGTACAAAACCGCGGAAGAGGGACCCTCCACGGGGGCAAAGAAGGAACAACACGAGGAGAAACATCAGAAATACGAACGGAAAGAGAATCCTGCAGGCGAGATAACCGGACAGAAAGAGGGAGGTGGTGAAGAGGAACAGGAACCGCAGGAGGGGTAAAAGTTAAAGCACGACAGAGACGAGAGGAAGGATGTTGCAAGGACCGCGCAAGATAGCGAAGACAGTAGCGATCACGGCGGTCCTGGAGAGACAGGAAGCCAGTGTCAACATACAAGCTAAGGACGGGAGTCGAACGAAAGGCACCAGAACTGAGGCGCAACCCAGTATGGTGCAAAGCATCAAGACGGCGAAGAGTAGAAGGAGAAGCAGACGAGTAAGCAGGGCAACCATAATCGAGCTTAGACAGGACGAGAGAGGAATGTAAAGCAAGGAGAGTGCGCCTATCTGCCCCCCAAGAAGTATGGGACAAGACCCGAAGGAGGGTAAGGGACTTAGAGCACTCAACACGGAGGTAAGAGATATGGGGAGACCAAGACAAACGAGTGTCAAGGAATAACCCCAAAAGCTTCGCGGAATCTTTGTATTCAAGGGGATGACCATAAAGTGACAAAGAGGGACGAAGAACAACCCGTTTCCGCGTAAAAGTCATGGCACAAGTCTTAGAAGTAGAGAACTTGAAGCCATGACCTGTGGCCCAAGACGACACGGCATCAATCGCAAGTTGAAGCCGGCGTTGAAGGAGAGGCGAATCATCACCCTGACAACAAAGGGTAAGATCATCGACATAGAGAGCGGAGAAGACACCAGAAGGAAGAGAGGAAAGAAGACCATTGAGGGCAACCAGAAAAAGAGTAGTGCTCAGAACACTACCCTGGGGCACACCTTCGTATTGCTGAAAAGGGGAGAGAGAGCGGTACCAAGGCGCACCCGAAAGGAACGACGAGAGAGGAAGCTGCGGAGAAAGAGAGGGAGATGACCACGAAGGCCAAAAGAATGAAGTTGAGATAGGATATGATAACGCCAAGTGGTGTCGTAAGCCTTTTCTAGGTCAAAAAGGACGGCAACAACGGAGGTCTTCGCAGCAAAAGCAGTACGTATATAGACCTCCAAGTTCACCAGGACATCTGTCGTGCTGCGGCACTTGCGGAAACCAAATTGAGAAGGGGAGAGGAGGTGATGGTGTTCCAGGAACCACATCAGACGAACGTTAACCATACGTTCAAAGAGTTTGCAGACACAACTTGTGAGAGCAATAGGGCGAAAGTCCTTAGGGGAAGTACCCAGAGACCCTGGTTTGCGAACAGGGAGGACAACGGCATCGAGCCAGTCCTCAGGGACTGACGACGACTCCCAGATCCGATTATACAGACTCAGTAAATACTGAGACGTGCTCGGAGGGAGATGGCGAAGCATCTCATAATGAATACCATCGGAGCCCGCCGCCGTAGAACCGCAGAGGGCCAGGGCAGAACGAAGTTCAGAGAGAGAGAAGGGATCATTATAGGGAAGCTGAAGATGAGTGCAGAAATCTAAAGGACGAGACTCAAGGACAGGTTTACGAAGAAGGAAAGATTGGGGAAGATGAAGACCAGAGCTAACAGAAGAAAAGTGGGAACCCAGTTCGGAAGCGACCTGCAACGGGTCCGCCACAAGAGTATCATGGAGGTGAAGGACCGGTGAAACATCGGGAACGAACTTGCCCGCTATCTTGCGGATACGCTTCCAGATCTGGGCCAGAGGGGTTTCGGACGTAATTGTCGAGACATAAGATGCCCAACATTCACGTTTAGCCGTACGGATGGCCCTACGGGCCACCGCACTCGCTTTCCGAAAGAAAAGAAAAGAATCGGTCGTCTGCCTACGGCGGTGCTTCTTCCAGGCTGCACGCTTACAGCGGACAGCCCGAGCACAGTCCGCATTCCACCAGGGAACGCACTTCCGTGGACCCCGAGAGGAAGAGCGAGGAATAGAGCGGAGGGCAGCGTCGAAGACAGTGTCATGAAAAAGGAGGAGAGCGCGAGAGA